CATCCAAGTGCACACACAGTAGTGAACACACACCTAGAGCAGTGGGCAGCCATATTGCATTCGGTGCCTTGGTCAAGGGTCTCACCTCAGTCGTGGTATAGAGGGTGGAAGAGAGCGCTGGTTATTCACTCCTCCCACCTACAATCTCTGCCAGACCTGAGACTCGAACCCACAACCTTCGGGTTACAAGTCCGACTCTCTAACCATTAGGCCACAACTGCCCCCAACTTAAGATAGAAATTCCAGTTGTGAACAGATAAAATAAAATAGTTAAAATGAATTGAAATAAAACATTTATTAAACTACTTATAATTAAAATAAATGTAATAAATGAAAAAAGAAAATAATGTATTATGTGTGCCTTTTTTAAATATTTGTGTAGATTTGGTTTTTGGTTTATTAAGTGGTTTAAAAAAATCTTAATATTAATGATAATACAAAATGATATACAATATAATATCAGTATACAGTATAAAGATTTAAAAGAACGTTTGTTTTAATTTTGAGTTGATGATGGAGTATTTTTGAGTAACTTTTGAATGGGGCTATAAGGTTACATGACAAAAAAGGCTTGAGAAGACTGGGTTAGACTATATGGGGTGGAGAGAAATAGAAAAGATTAGATAAATATGTTTTACCACTTCAAATAGCTAGAGATATCTCAAATAAATAATCTTTCTATATAATACAGCCCACTACAACGGAACAGAATGTCTCTGTATCACGCACTAACTCGTTTAGTTCTCTCTGTCTCTTTTTTTCTCTGTTCCTCACAGTGTGTACACAGAGACTTGGCTGCACGTAATGTCCTGCTGTCTCAAGGCAAGATAGTGAAGATCTGTGACTTTGGACTGGCCAGAGACATCATGCACGATAACAACTACGTCTCCAAAGGAAGTGTGAGTTGTTGTCTTAGTCTTAATGTGGTGTTCTTGATTGTTCATCTTAGATTATGGAATTGTTCATTGTTTTATGAACTTATTTGGAAAAAAGAACTGGAACAATCGTCTTCTAATACTTGTAGTCTTTCTCTCTCTCTCACACATAGACTTTCCTTCCAGTAAAATGGATGGCCCCTGAGAGTATTTTTGATAACTTGTACACTACACTCAGTGACGTCTGGTCGTATGGCATCTTACTATGGGAGATCTTCTCGCTTGGTATGATTTTTTTTTTAGCGTTTATTTCTAAACTTTACAAATGTGTTTCCAACACATTTTATTTATTCCATATTTTAGTTTATTAAAATACCATATGCAATGTGTTTCTGTAGGAGGGACTCCTTATCCAGGTATGGTTGTGGATTCCAACTTCTACAACAAGATCAAGAGTGGATACCGAATGGCGAAACCCGAGCACGCTTCCAGTGATGTGTACGTTCCATTACAAAGTTTGCGTGACTGTTTTGCTGTGCTAGGCTTCAGTTGGAGCAGATGTCTAAACAATGTGTTGTTGTTTGTCTATGTGCAGCTATGAGCTTATGATGAAGTGTTGGAACAGTGAACCAGAGAAGAGACCATCTTTCCACAGCCTGAGTGATACGGTGACCTCTCTGCTGCCCTCAGGATATAAGAGAGTAAGCCTGCAACATGAACACACGATTTCAAGTTTCTCTGTTTTTTCTCTCTGTTTATCACTCTCAAATGGTTTTAGTTTTCTTTACGATGAAATTATTTTTCAGGAGAATATATATATATATATATAGTATATATAAATACAATTATGTACTAAAACTATTTAAATTTCTCTTACTAAAATGTTTGTGATATAATTAAAAGTATTTTAATGTATGTTTATTTTATATAAAAATGTGTTTTTTATAAATAATGATTTTTGAAAACAAAACTAAATAAAATCTGTAACTACAAATGTGCATTGCAATATAAACAAAAACTAATAAAAAAAATTGATGTAGTAATTAATCAGTTCCACAAAAACATCTGATTCATGCATTTTGGCAAAAAGAACCACCACAGGAAGGAGGTATCTGACTGATGCATATAAAAAACAACCATAGCTTTCTGTATGAGATGTTAAGGGGCAAATAAATCTTAAATAGACTACACCACAATAATGAATAAAATTACAATCATTTACTCAAACTATTTAAATTTCTCTTACTAAAATATTTGTGCTGTAATTATAAAATAATTTAAAAGTATTTTTATATATTTTTATTTTATATAAACATTTTCTCTTAACAAAAAACAATGGTTTTGAAAAAAAAAAAAAAACTGAAACTATAAATGTCCACTACAGTTTGGACAAAAACTAATTAAAAAAATAAAATAAAATCTGATGTAGTAGTTCATTTCTTCCAGGATATACAGGATCTGTCTGATATTTAAAAATAAATAAATACATAAAAAACATAGCTTTATTATGTGATATTTAGGGGCAAATACATTTTAAATATAAAACTATACTGAAATCAAATTAAAACTTCATTTTCAGAAATGAACAAAATGAAATAAATGCTACTTACATTCGATTAAAACAATTTGAAACTAAACTGAAATTGAAAACTATAATAATAAAATTTAAAATAAAATATCCCGCCATGCTCAATAAATGGCCCAGATTAAAGTATGGTGGAAATGGCTTCCCACTTCTTGTAGCTTAAATGCAGTGTGTCAATCTGGGCTTTGAGGCCTCGGCTACGTGCATGTCATCATTGCCATCACTGCCAGACCGCTAACAGAGATTAGCACAGCAGCTCTCCAGCTGGCTAACGCCCCAGCAAGGCAAAACCCAGCAGTGCTAATGACCAGAAGCATACAGTTAGCGTCCGCCAGCTAGCCATAATTGTGCTATTAAACAGACACCACACATGGTACTTCAAAACTCTGCTTCCCAGAGTCACATGGCCCAGGGAATAACTAGCTCCTGTTATAGCACCTTGGGCAGGGGTGTGGTGGGAAATGCGGTTCGTAAATGGGCCAGTAAGCCCTCAAGTAACCACAGAACGCTTGCAGAAATGGGGCAGAACTTTGGCGTTGAGCAGTGTTTACGGTGGTGTTGAAGTGCTATTTACAACTACCAGAAATGATTACATTTCTCCCTCATTTCCTTCAGTACAATGTATTATAACAGTGAATTGCAAGCTTAATTTGTGATTATCGTTTCATTTACAAGTACAATCTTTGTTAAGTAAAGCCTATTCAAAATCTATTTTTCTATTTTTGGTTTGTTGTATTGTTAGTGCATGTGTGGTAATACTCAGTTGAACTTTTATATTTTATTTATATTATTTTTTGTATTAAATATTAAATAATTAATTTAAATGATTTAGTTCATACTTGAATATTATTTATTTATAAAACGGGATAGTTCCGGTCCTTGATTCTGATTGGTTGAGCCGCACACTACAAACATACACACCACGGCTTCTTGGGGCTTATTGCTTTATTATAACTTTTTATATTGTATTTATATTTCTCTTGGTGTGCAGTGCTACGAACGCGTGAATCATGACTTCCTGAAAAGCGATCACCCCGCTGTGACTCGGGTGCAGTGCACTGACAATGATGATGCGTACATGGGTGGTCTCTACAAGAACCAGGGCAAACTAAAGGACCGCGAGAGCGGCTTTGATGAACAGAGACTCAGCTCTGACAGCGGTTACATCATTCCTCTGCCGGACCTCGACCCACTGTCAAATGAAGACTATAGCAAAAGGAACCGCCACAGGTAGCCCACCAATTTACATAACATTCTCACTCTGATGTTAGGATGACGATTCATAAGGATTTTGGACATATACACTACCAATAAAAGTCTGGAGTCAATAAGTTTTTTTTTTTTCTTAATGAAATTATTACTTTCATTCAGCTAGGATGCATTAAATTGATCAAAAGTGACAGTAAAGACATTTACAATGTTACAAAATATTTATATTTCAAATAAATGCTGCTCTTTTGTCACTGTTTTCAATAATAATAAGTGTTTCTTGAGTACCAAAACAGCATATTGGGGTTATTTATGATGGGTCATATGACACTTAAGAGTGGAATAATGTCTGCTGAAAATTCAGCTTTACCATCTTTACCATCAATTGCATTTTAAAATATATTTTCAAGCAAAATTTATTCTGGAAAAAAAAATATTTATATAATTTATATAATGCTCTTTTTGTTTAAATTTGCATTTTTAATGTTCATTTGCATTTTCAACAAAGTCATGCCCATGGAGTCTTTGAATTGCTGAATTGTCTTCTCTTTTTCTCTGTAGCTCTCAGACGTCGGAGGAAAGCGCAATAGAGACAGGCTCTAGCAGCTCCATGACGAAGCGTGAGGGAGAGACCCTGGAGGACATCACCTTGCTGGACGAGATGTGCTTGGACTCAGGAGAAATGGTAGAGGATAGTTTCCTGTGAGTGAAAGCTGCAAAGAGTGTGTGAGAGAGAGAGAGAGAGAGAGA